TCAGTTTTTTTTCCAGGCTTTTCAGCTTGGATCACAAGGAATCTCCAGCCTCCATACAGATCTCCTCCTTCTATAGGAACTACCTAAAAGATGTATTGGGGTCCTGGCGCAGTCACGATTGCTCATGCAGAGCAACATTTCATTCTCAAACGCCAATCCTTTCCAGCAAGACCAGAAATTTTTCACAGTCATTTTCTGAGGGGATATTACATTCCAGAATAGCTGTGTTTGCCAGATGAACTTCCAGTCACACTCTATTAAGATCCTTTATTTTAGAAATAACTAATTCCTAGTGGAAACTCATGATCTGCTGCTTTAACGGATGAACAAAGCAGCTTGCACTTAATGCAGACTGTAAGAAAAAATAGGAACTTTCACCACAAACCCATGCCTTAAGCAAATCTCGGCTCTCCCTTTTGGATCAGCATTGGCAAATATAGCAATTGAAAAGACACCTGGTCTATTCTGACCACAGACATCCTTTGGGAAGCAGTAGTATCCGTTTACCATATTCACAATAGTTTGCTATTGCTTTGCAGGAAAGTAACAGTTTAACACTGGAAATCTAAGGATTTTGCTGTCATAAGCCAAGTCTTTCTTATTGTTTTTGTTCTATATTCAGTACGAAAGGGGATGTGAAACAAAAAAGGGCAATGAACAGAGACCACAAAAGACTTCCAGTCACAAAAATACTAAAAAGCAGTCTGCTTACCACTGGTATACCATACATTTCTGTTTCTTACACAGTAATTTTCCAGTACTGCCAAAGAAGGAGTTTGGTCAAACTCCATTTCTGCATTGCTGCACATTTCTGTTTATCAGAGGAAAGTCCACTCTTTTTATTTTGCATCCAAAGATAAATTGCTTGTTTCTGGCCACTATAAAAACAAGTGTGATACATGAGAAGAAAATATATATTTGGCACAAAAAAAAAGAGAATCTTTTAAAAAGAATTTTATATTTCCACGTGTTTTTCTTCCCCTTAAACTAAGGAGTGGCACCTACAGGTTCGTTAAAAGTTCAGTAACACCTTCATGAAATACTTCCAGAAATACACCTCAAACCTCTTTCTTTTTGCTATTTGAAAAAGATGAAGTGGGAATTAAGTGGGGAAAAATATAATCTCTTGCTGCTGGCTCAGAAAGAGCATTCCTGATTTCTATCAGGAAAAATCTCAGGTCCTCTTTCTGCTACTCATACAAAGCCCCTGCAAAATACCAAGCAACAAGCATCACACACATTCACATCTTTCTCTATGGTAATTTTCTTTACTCCTCAAAGCTGAAATTTTGTATTAAGGGATCTACTTTTAACAATTTGCTGTTATTAAGAGACTTTCAGCAACTTGTAACCCATTCCTACTTCAAGTCCACAAAAAAACAGAACAGCTGAATTATCATTTAGGACTTCCAATCTTGCATTCAACATGGGTGCAGGGGAGGTTTTGTGCTGAAAAACAATTGCCCACAAGTGACCTATTTCACCTTAGCAATACATTTATGAGAAAATTCTACAGGCTACATCACTAAAAAGAAGAAAAAATGTTTGCCTATTTTACCCAGTTGTTAACAATAAAAGCTAGTAATTGGGGGGAGTTTGTGCTGTTTTTTCCCTGTATCATCTCAGCTACAATAAAAATATCCAACCTTCAGAAAGAGTTTTCCCCATTGTTGAATAGGTTCACATTCTATGATCATTCCCTAGATTTGAAGCTGATTATATTGCCTTAAATTATGACTTTTTTCAGTATATTTGGTCTGTTAAACATTTCTGAGCACATATCAGTGCTTCTATGAACACAAGAAAACCTGTTACCCATTCAGTAGCCAAACTACCATTATTGTTTAAACACTGAGACCGTCAAAAGCATCAGGCTGATGGCTGCACTCCCAAGCTTTCTGTCTGTTTTTAGCTGTCCCCAGGTCCCACATGCCAGGAGCGCTTTAGCAGTGGACGTGACAGTGATGCTGCTGTAAAGCTGCAGGACAGCAGCAGGAACCAAGCAAATCCAGCAATCCAGGAGCAGGTACCACTGAGCAGACACCCTGTCGTCCTGCTGGGAGTCAACCTCAGCCTCAGGGAACCTCCCAGGAGCTGCCTAAGGGGCCAACTCCAGATCATACGCCTTTATTCTATTCTAAAACTGTTCTTCTTGCTATGATCTTTTTCCATAGCATCAATTGTTAAATGAATATTTTCCCTTGAAGTTTTATCTCTCTTTTATATAAGTTGTCTCTTGCTTCCTCTCCGGATGGACTCCCTGGACCTTCCAGTCCAGAAACTCTGATCTACACGTTCAGCCCAGCCAAACTGCTGTTTTTTGGTTTCTTGTCAGTGTAAACGCTACCCTGAAGTCTTTCTCTTTACTACAGGGATTATTTTAGAAACAAATCTTGTAGCCATTTCAATGGAGTCTTTTCTTTACCTCACACTCTTACTCTTACTACATGCGTCTTGCCTAAACTGCAGCTTGGATTTTCATCTCACACAAAAATCTTAATTCAAAATAGGTTTTAGGTTTGTGACAGTAAAATCCTGTGATACTACTACTAAACTACAATCCTTTTATCATCCAAGTCTTTGTAATCAATGTAGAACTGCAATATATAAACCTCCTAAACTATTATGTAGTATTTAAGAAAGGAAAATCTAACATCTCCATTACAGGCTTCTAATAATAATAAAGTAGATAAAGCAACATCAAAAATTTAAAAGACTTACCTACGTCCTGATTCCACACCCAAGTGGCCAATCTTTTTCTTGCAGGTGATTTGTCAGTCCCATTGGTCCTTCCAAATCTCCCATAATTTGCAGATAATCTGAAAGCTGCAATTCACCTCATCAATCTATCTTTCCAATCACCTGGAAGTGAGGCAGTCTGGTTTCCCAGGCTTATTAGACTTTGACGTTGTTGCCTCAAAGCTCTTATCATCCCTAAGTCATCTTAGGAAAACATCTAAAGAAACACTTCAAATCCGTTACGTAGCTTACAGCTCTTGAGTTAGGTTTGCCATCTCTATAACTAGAAACTTCCATTTGTTCTCAGTTCTACATGTGGTTTCTTCTAAAAAGAGAAGATGACAATGAAGCTACATATTTATTTCAGACATTCCTACTGGAAGCTTAGATACAGTAGCAAATTCTTTGCTCTTATCCCCAAAAAAACTTTTGGCTTCTCCGAGAGCCACACCACAAGTGCTTCTATTGCCGTCTGTTCCCTTCTAACACCTCCACTTCTACCAAATAAAAGCCAGCCTCTGGCACAGCTCTATCCGTACCGCTCAGCTTCTGTTCAGTCTCACATGGACAGTGAGTAGCTTCTTCAGCTTCTTCAGAGTAGATATTTAACTTCTTAAAGGAAAAAAAAAAGCTTTTTTAAAAAAATTATCTTGATTGAAAGATACTACTCATATCGCCACTGTCATACAAGAAAACCCAACTTCTGTACAATTCCATATTTAGTGATCAGAGACCAGTTAAATCATTCTGTGATTATTATTTTCTACCCTCCTAAGAGGGTTCAGGGTACATTCATCCTAGCATCTTCATCTTAAAATCACGGCACTGAATCCCTGCAGCAGTCTTTACTACTAGCAGAAGTGCAAAGTCGAGACTATTAGCGTCTGCAGCACTGACACAAAGGAGCACCTTTGTGATGGGATTAAAATTGGCTGGAACAACAGCTCTCCTGCTGTCCAGTTCTTTGTTTTCTGAGAATAGAAACGAGTCCCTCAATTCTGAGCATCAGGTTCAAGACGTGTCCCGCTTCGGCAGAGCGGTCAGGCCCTGCCAGCAGCGGCCCCGTTAAGGCCTCGCACAGGGTCCTGTCTGCGAGCAGCAGCTCTCGGGCGACTCTGCACCGTAACACAGCACGTTTGCGGATAACTCTGCTCAAGAAAACTGGGATCATTTGACTGTTTTCCATATAAATCAGTTTTCATTTCTCTTCTCAGAAATGTAAAAGTTGAAGGTAATCAACACAAAGTACTGCCATTGTCCTCCTGCAGAGACCTTTTGTATCAAATTTCATCGTAAAATGACATTTTGTGTTGAAGTTATAAACCATGAATAATGGAAACTTATAATGGGAAATCATGATAAAATATTGACCACATTTCCATGATCAGCTATGTTCTAATGCAGAATACAAACTGATTACTTACGTTATATTGTTTAAGAAATATAAAAACAAAACAGCAGCAAAAACAAGAAAAGTGTAATGGTTGATACCTTACTAGCATAAAATTAAAGCAGCCACATGCATAATTGACTGAAAATATTACAGGATTTCATTTTTAGAACCCAGAGATTTCCTTAAATTGCTATGCAAACCTGTCATATGCATTTTTTTCTGTCACTTGAAGAGCACTCTTTACTGCAGGTTAATATTGTGAGGTTAGAAAACAAATTAATATTGATATAAAAGCCTAGATATGAGGATAGCTCTGAACAGTAACTGCAAAATGCTACCGGCATATTTACATTTCAAGTTCCATTTATGTCCATAATTAAGCACATAAATAATCATACCTCTTACATAACAAAATTCACTGTACCTATAAAATACAAAACCAGAAGAGAGTGTTGGCACTATGTACATTATGTATAAGGAGATGAGACAATAATGCTTAGTAATACTATAGGATATATGAAAGTTGATTCCAAAAATTGCACAATTTCATAATACAGGCAATTTCATTTTCAAATTCTGCCAGATATATAGTACATGAAACATTTCATCATCTTATTTCTGATTAATATGATTGATTGTATTTTCAGAGATAAGCTGAACAAATCAAGGGATACCAAGTTTTAATTATTCTTTTTTATAAAACTTTTTAAAAGAAACAATGGAAATGAAACATCTTTCCACCATTTGGTGCACTTCACAGCACTTGGTGTATATTATAATCTTTGCATTCCTTGTGATTATTCACATAGAAGTAGTATTACATGAAAATGAGATAAAATTTGAAATACAACAACAGAGGAAAAACAAACAAACAAAAACCCCACAACTTATCCATAAAATGAAAAGATGCTTTGCAAGACACTTTGAAGAGATCATTCCAAGGGTTTCCATCTAGGAGTTCTGTGTTTCATCTTCCCTGTAACAGTATATAACAAATGATAGCAAGATCAATTACATTATTGGTGAGACTCAGTAATTAAAAAATGCTGATGATTTCAGGTTTCCCTCACCTGAAGAAGGGAGTTTTATTTTGGCTCCTTCTACACAGGTACAGATATGTTATGTACAGACTTTGCTCACAAGGGGGAAATGGCTGTCAGTAAATGGGACAGTTAATCTATAACCAGTCTAATGCCCTCCTTGCCTGTGATTATCTGTACCTCACATTCCTGCTTTGGTTACTTCAAATCATGTCTGCTGCACAAAAGGTAGGAAAGAAGCGTTCCTCACATCTATCCAGACTGCCCTTCCTGAAGCACAGGAGATGCAGCCGGACGGCCTCCTTGGAAACTCTTTGACTGGTCCTATAAAAGGAGAGGGAGAGGAAAACAAAACAAAACACCACTAGTGACTCATTCCTAGACACTAATGGATACTACCCATGCCATTAAACTATATGTTAACACCCCAATCACCCCATTCCTTGGATCAGAGTAAATGTTTTCTGGATTAGAATGAATGCTTTGAATGTGACATTTTCCTACAAAAAACAGCTGTGCTGGGTTAATGTTGGGTTAGCAGTTTTACTCCTATTTCAATTCTTGTTTTCTTCTCAGTTAATAAGGCAAGGCATCCAAAAACACCCATCAAAATTCATTTTTCTCTTACAGTCAGTCCTACCGCAACAGCTTTCATTTTAGCCTTTCAAAAGAAACTATGGTTATGCTGCCGCGCTGTCCATATGGGGCATGCATATATCTACCATTTTTTTTAAAATAAACCTTTGAATTCTTAACTTTGAGACTAATTGAAGTCTCAAAGAAACAATTCCTACAACTTTGATAAACAGGTAGCAGACAGAGGAAAAAACAATCCTATTAATACTTCAATGGGTTACACAGAACAAGCCTAACTGCCGGCAGACACTGGAGAATCCAGCTGGAAAAGCACTGCCACGTGCATCTGTGCCACAGGAAAGGCTGCACATGCACTCAGACACAAGCACGCCCACAGGAAATGAGACTTTATCAAATATGCTGCTCAAAGAACTAATAAGACAATATCCACAACAAGGCTATTTTCACCAGTTAAACCATTTTCTCTTTGTGGACTTCGTTTTTGCTTGCATGTGAAATGCCTGACTGTAGCTATACACACTCTGCTGGCTTCTTAGGCACCAATATATGCACTCTAACTATTCTCGGGAGTTTTAGCTTCATCTGCCTGAATCTCATTCTTCTACGTCCGTTTCTCTTCCTTTGGAGGGAAATATATGCACCACAGCCGGTGCTTCTATGACTTTTCTGCCCCAGGGGCTCGTAGGCTTACCCAGCTCTTACAATACATGCAAACAAAACCATCAGTTAATAGACAGCTGCAGCATCTTTCCAAAAGAACAACCTTTAAGAATATTGTTTACTTGTCTGAAAACAAGATATACTCCTATATACCACTCAAGCTTAAGTGACTGATTGATGGGTAGGCAAAAGCCTTTGCTTTGACAAAATCAGGCTGACATCAGTTTTCATGTTACTCTTTGCTGTCTGAACAGTATCAGGCTGATCAGATTTGTAATTCTCAAAGTACACCAAGCCACGCGCAAAAACTGTAATCCCTTCCTACACTGGACTTGCTGATTTATCCACCAATAAATCCAAGTTATAGAAATTCACTGTATAAACTGTTCCTGAGATATGGCTCCTGAAACACACAAATCATCAAGCCTCTTAGAACAACTTCATTCATTAAGAGAGTAAATATAGATTAGAAGACAACTAACCCATGTATCCTTTGTTGCTTAGCTTCTTGCTCAACACCTTTTCTTAAAGCTCCTTCCCTACACAATGGCTGCTACAAAATGCCATCTCTGACCTAACAGGTAATCAAGGAGGTATCTGGTAGCAATATTCAAGAAAATACATGAATCGATCTCCGAGTGCAACCTGCAGTCTCTGCCTCTACACATGGCTTTCTTAAAGAGCTAATTATACCAGGTTTACCAGAAAGAGTTGGGGAGTCTCCTGATCTTGCAAAGTGACACCCACAGCTGTAAGCGTCAATTATTTTTGCAACCACATCCAAACTGAGATCACACATTGGATACACTATTCAACCCAATTCCCCAAATCAACAGAAAGAACCCTTAAATGATTGACATGCAAGGCAGGTAAGGCCCCAGCTATATGTTAACGGCTTAGATTTTGATGCGAGCAGTGCTGGAAATACCTTATTATTCTCTTTCCAGAACAGCAGGGGACTTCAAACTATAGATTTGGCTGAGGACATAACAGCCACCTGGTAAAACCTTACAAAATACAGACTTGCAGAGTCTTGCAGAGATACTTATTACCTTTCCTTACACCACATGTGCATAAGACCTTCACTGTTTCCAATACCTGCCAGACCTTGCTGGTATACAAAGGGAGCCCCTGCATCTTTTCAAGACCTTAGATTCTAGCAACACACATTTTTTTTCCCAACACAGATCTTTTAACTGAGAATAAGTGAACACTTGGCTTTACCTTGGCTGCTATACAACTTGTAAATTAAATTCCCCATTTTTGAAGTGAAAACGTTAACCTCCCCCCCCCTTTTTTTTTTGAGGTTCCAAATGACACAAAATTTCTCTTTAAAAATCAACAGTCAAGGATTTACAGTCAGCCAAATGGAGAAGGAAACATTTGCACGTGAATATTTAGAGGATATAAACCACATGTTGACCTCACATATTCAAATGTGTGTTCAATACGCTCGTTACATAAATATTCTAATAAATACTGTAAGTTCTGAAAGCAAGAATGAGTCATGCTTTCTAGCAGGCCACTATAAAAAAAATACTATCATGAGAGGGTCAAAACAAAACAATGGAAACAGGCAGTGAAAAAGAAAATTTCTGATAGCAGAAAAATAGAAATCTTAAGTGTAACACCTTTCCATCCTCCAAATCTTTCACGTTGGTGTGCAAGCATCACAATTAACTCCACATTCCTTTTAAATGGTTATCAATACACAAAGTGAAAGCATCATCATCTTTAATATATAAACTGCCTTTTGCTGATTGCAGGACGATGGTTACTTCTGATATATATATATTTTTTTCCCCCAGAAAAGCTTTGGAGTCATTTGCCAAATCAGTCTTTTTATCTTCTGTCAGCATCCACACAACTGCTGCTTTGGTCAAAAAGTCTAGTGTTTTATTTTAAGAGAGGAGGCACAAATTCAGAGAAAAGAGTTGCAAGTCCTGCAGCTTCAAATTCCTTTTGTAGCTCATCTATAGTTGAATAGTCTTTGACTTCAAATGTCTGAAACCTACAACATAAAGGAAAATTCATGAATATGCCTAGAATGTAATTATCGAGTCAGTTACTTTTCTATCCACAACAGTACTAAATTATACCTTGCATGCTGTGGCTGTATCTTTGTTTCACAGAGCACACTAATCATTTTCTCTTTGCATTTCTTTCTGCTTGAATCCACATCTACCTTAGAAGTTTTCTGAAGAATCAAGTATTCCTAAGCATTAAAAAGAAGAAAATATTAGTATCCTTGAAGTTTAGTAAAATGCAAAGACCTGTATGAAACGAAAAGATCCATCTCTAGCCAAATTTCGGGAGCGCCCATCCCAAACCCTGCGTGCCTGTTTTTATCCAATAGCTTTAAGACCCACGCAGTCTCAAGTGATGCAGGGAACCTGAGTTTGAAAAGCCAACATCTCCTCCAGCATCACCACAAAGACCCGCCTAATCCAGAGGGAGAGGGAGGTCACAGCAAGAGAGATGACGTGACAAGCCCAGCTGTGTGGCACGAACACCACATACTCCAATTGCCAAGGAAGAGGAAATTCAGGAATGAGCTAGAAATATGCCTATTATCAATTGCTTTTCACAAACTTGCTATTTTCAAGGTATATTCTGGAGTATTTTAGCAATACAGGAGATGGAATCTAAGCACAATGGAGTCAGGAAACATGAGAAATACACAGGGAAATTGTTACTATGGAACAAACAGCAGCATAAAACACGGGCCAATAGAATAACTTATTTTTCTTAAGCACAGAACAAAGTTTTGGGGCCTTCCTACTTTCTTAATGATCAATCTCCTTCCAAAATTGTTTATGTTAGAAGAAACACACACAAAATATTCAGACACATAGGTGTCAGTGGTAAATCGATAGTAGTAGTCAACATTCATTGTTCTTGCACCTTAATGTTGCTCCTGTCACCCTCAAGAAGAATCAATATTATCTTGCCCATGAACATCAGTCTTCCAGTCAGCCTTAGATCTGAAGCCCATTTTTCCACAGTTTTGACGTATTTTGCCTTTGCTCTCATGTGATCTAAATGCAAGAAGAGTATCCAGATACCGTCCTCTGTGCCTGCTCCTCTTGACAAAGTAGTTTTTTCACTGCAAACAGCTGTTGATTGCCTAATGATGCATTTAAGATGCTGTTGTACCCAAAGAACCAGCTCGTGGACCATGGGTTCAGAAAGATGCTTCTTTGCTTGCTCAAGTAATTTATCTTTCACATCCATACATTGGGCCCTTGTAAGCTGGTCTGAGTTAACAGAAATATCTGGCAGAATTGATGGATAATTGACTGGTAAGTGAAATAACAGCTTTAAAAGTATGTCTGTGTCCAGCAGTTCTTTCACGGTGATTTGAATTCTAAATGTAATTCCATGCGTCTCTGAAAAATATTAAAAAATAAATATCAACAGTTTGTTTGAAGTTGAAATATACACACATTAGTAGGTTATATTATATTCTTTAACATTTCAACTCAAAGGACTGTCATTCCATACATATTTCTTTTCACAACCAGCAGCTCAAGCTATACTTGCAGGGATCCCTGAAATGAAACACTTCCATATCATACTAGAAGGAAAGTTATTAACACATTATAACAAACATTCACACCTTTTGGCTCTTCTAAAGTCCAGACAAGTCAGTATTAAAGGATTATATCTTAGAAACACACAAGGCAGCTTCTACAGGTGAGTAGCACCAGCAAGAGTAACTGAAGACAGACCCTTCTGGAAGCCCTCAGCACTGGCCTACCTTTCTTCCATGAGAAAAAAAAAAAAAAAAAATTCTATGAAAGCTTTATTACCATTACAAGTGCAAGACAAAAATATGCACTTAGAACTGCATTAAAAGACAAATGTTCAAAGACAGTTATACACTGAAAAGGGATTCGGAAAGAAAGCAGCAAAACTCTTTATCCTTTATAACTTTGAGAAACATTTTTTCCCCTCTATTTACATGAGATTGACATAATTAAGATCTCTCTTTTGTGCATTTGACCCTAAACACATAATATTTTGATCTATTTCAGAATAGAGTTATTTTCAGAGTATACAGCATACACACAGTATGTAGCAAGAAGGCAAAAAGACCCCATCCTTCTGACAAATTGCTTAATCACATACACTTAATTGGTATAGCAAAACATAAACAAGAGTTACGTACAGTAAGTTCCTGCATTAGAGCCCTTCTTAGCCTAAAATGTTTCACAGAAAAAAGCAATACAAAAGTTCATAAAGTGAAAAGAGGGGACAAAGACCTAACCTACTTTTGCTCCTCTGCAACACAAAAGAGGATATCAGATAAAAGGTGATCTTCTTCAGATCTTCTCTGCTTCACCCCTTTGATGCATTCCCAACACTTCACCCCATTTCTTTAAAAACTTGCTAAAATGTCAGGTTGATTCATTCTACGAGGGCAGGAGAAGGCAGTTTTGAAAGACAGATTAGAGCAGCGCTGGGTTTCACAGGAGTTCTTTTGAAGTGACTTGCTTTCTTGTCCCCTACCTTATCTTACTTTCCTTTACATGACAGTCAGTCGAATTATGTCTGATTAGCATTGCTGACACTGCTAACCTCCTCGGTGTTCTCTAAGATATTATATTTGAACATTGTTAAATAAGTGAGAGAATCTAAAAGTGACTTGGGCTTTAGAGAGCTTAGCTGGGGGGCTGTGCCCAACTTTCCTTCCTGGTTCACATGAAGAGTTCTCCAGGATAGGGCAGTGACAAAGCTAAACAACCAAATCCTCCAAACTAACCCATCAAACCCTAGCATTGTAATAGAGGAGCCTCCAAACAACTACACACCGTCCCTGCCCTGAGCAAAGGGTCAAACCCAGCACTGGAGGCAGCAGGTGCAAGTCCAGTGAATTAAAGGAAATTGTGCCCATCCACACGCACAATGAGCCAGCGCCAAGACATTAATGAAGCATCTCCGTGGACCTCCTGGTCCAAGTGGACCTGCCGTCTCCGTGGAGCTGCCTGAGCACACAGCTCCACACACGGCAGCATTCCCGCAGGAAAGGCCGCGCAGCACCCAGCACACTGCATTTTGAACTACATGGCCAATAACTTTTTAAAAAATCACAGTCTATAATTGAGTTGAAGAATAACGCTCTATTGCCAGCTTAAGTACAGTGACAGAAAACCACGTTACCTTTCTGACAGTCCTACCAGGGATTTGTCACTAACTTGTCCCAACAGACCCGAGCAACCCCGAAGTGACGGATAAGGCGTCCGGCCAGCGCTGCCCCTTCGGCAAGGAGCTCCGGCCGCACCTGCCCCTGCTCCCAATCCGCAGGGATCTTGTCCCACTCCCAGCCCAGGCCGCGTGGCTCCGGCCGTCACGCTCATTTCCATCCGCTTCAGACTTTCTGGGAAACGGGGAATCGATTCCAAACGTTCGCGGGGCGACAACAAAGTTGATTTTAACATCAGCACATTTGTTTCCTACATCCACATCGCAGACTGCTGTCAGAACAAGAGCAAATGACCACTGGCCTTCGCAAGCAGGCTCCACAGAAAATATTTCCTTTGTGTGCCCACATCGCACTGACTCCACAGCAAAGCATTGATCATTTCTGATAAAGAGTGGGATACTATCATTCTGCTGGCATTTAATGTGCTAATAAGACTAAATCCAATACATGTTAAGTCATTTTCCCCCATAGCCGCATGCTTATCAGTATATTTAGCTCCAGCATACTTCAGATTTTTTTCTTATGTTCCATGTCAACCAGACATATCCCCCTCCTCTCCTGCCCAAAGGCGCTCTATGCAACACATGCAGGCTATTTTTAAATTCACAAAATAGCACCTACTGAAGTACAAGCTTGGAATATAAAAATATATTTTTATTGCAAGCTTCGTGAGCAAATCAGAAGAGAACAGATTAACAAATAAGTTATGGATTTCTATCTGTAATTCTAATCTTTCCAAATAGATATGTAAGAGAAGAAAGATAGACTGTAATTAGTTTACTTAAATTCATTAATGCATTTTTTTCATAAAAGTATATTTTTCAGTTTGAATACTTCACTGTTCGATCCCAGAAAGCTGAAGTTTTTAGCACAGCAAGACATCTGCAAAATAATTTTCTTGCATTTCCACAAACAATAAATCCCCAAAAGCCTCCTTTTTGATCCTATAAATCTACACACAAATTACTCTCAATTTATCAGTGATAATGTAACAGTCTTACTGGAAGTTATAGCTCTGCATTGTTTATCAACAACAAGCTATACAATTTAAAGAGATAAAGTAAACATAAACCAATGAATACAGCAAAATAATTTTTTCATTTCCAAGGGAAAATGATGGAAATCAACCAGGGCACGAGATCCTAACAGACTATGAAAGCAGCTTTGTTTAACGGCCCTGCAAGGTCATGTCACATCATTATAAATATAATAACCGGCTCTTGTTTTGCCCTCACTGTACTTCACACGGTGTTCTGGAAAGGATTCTAAGCCTTCTACATCTTGATTATTTATAAACACAAGTTTTTTTTCTGGATATTATGTATGGAGAAGTATGCACATATATTTCTCAAACAGATTTGGAGAAACAGACATGCATATGCAACGCTCAGATACGGTCACATTTTTTAAAATAAACATCTGCTAAGCCTGGATCCTGTATTTTTTAAACTATGCATAAAATAGCATTTCTGAGCTTCTTGGGTTTCAAGAAAACAAAACTCAATTGAAGATTTCAATCCTATTTTTAAAAATATACCTTAAATGCCAATCCAAAATATAAAATAGCAAGACACTGCACCAGCGAGGTGCCCCAAGCCGATCAAGGCACAAAACAACACTGTTTTGGGATTGCGCTCGTTAATGGTGCTCCACGCAGACACTAATACCTTCACCCCTCTGGGAGGGTCCGCGCAGTCCCCACATTTGAGACCCTCACACAGAGCAGGGAGCTGCCACGTCCGAGGTGCCCGAGCAAAGCTTCCCTTACGCCCTGGATGCACGTCCTCCACTCGCCCTACCTGCCAGGTCCTCCTCACCCGTGGGGTGACCGCACAGGTACCACGACGTGGTCCCTCTTGCTGATCAACTTCACAGCGACAGGACTGATGCCTTTCAGTTAAGCTTTGCACAGGGACCACCATGGCTGGTGCACACAGCACGGAGCGAGGACACCCCTACGCAGAGCTCCCGCGCCTGCAGCCTCCGGCTTGCGGGAGCCGACAGGCCTGTGCGCAACCCCACACACAACCCCGCTCACCTTCCCGGGCTCGCCCGGCCAGCAGCCACATGCACACACCAGCACAGAGCCGGGGGCACCGCCTGAGGCCCCAAATATCACCCTGCCCCTGAGAAAATGCCCTGAATGACCCAAAGTGGTTACAGCTGTGCCCAGTTAACCCTGCTGCTCCCACACAGGTTTTGTCACAGGCGGTAAAGGCAGCTGCTTAACACGTCGCTAGCCGCGAGCACCGCTCCGCTGTCCTGCCGGAGCGAGGCCAGGGGGCGGCCGCACAGCCCAGGGTCATGCGAGGCGGCGGCGAGGACGGCGAGGACGCGGCGGGGAAGCTGCCCTGGCGGCCCGCAGCGCAGCACGGCCGCGGAGCCCCGAAATGGCGGCCGGGCAGCGACGCGGCGGGAGCCGCCGCCTTCACCTGACACCGCCAGCACCTCGCACTCCTCCGGGCCGCAGTAGATGGCGGCCAGCGCGGCGAGCTCCTCCCGTGCCAGCGCCGCCATGGCCGCAGCGGCGCCCGCGCCCGCAGGCAGTGCCCGCCGCGCCACCCCTCGCCCGCCCCGGCCCGCTGCGGCTAATGGCGGCCAGCGGCGGCGGCGCCGAGATGGTGGCGGCGGCGGGGCGCCCTCCGCGCCGCTGGAGGAAGGGCCTGGCCAGCGGCTCTGCTCCTGGCCACGGGCCTGGGGCACCGGTGAAGGAACGTGAGAGGAAATACGGCTGGAGCTGCCAGCAGAGCGGCCAGGGAGCCGCAGCCGCCAGGAGGCATCTTTGGGAATCAGCCTCAGAGGCGCCTCGTTCCATCCTTGAGGACTTCCTTGACTCTGGACTTTCCCCCTTCTCCTCATCCACTTTGCATATTCCATTTTTCATGTTTAAATAAAAAAGTCGATGTAAATGTCTTTTAAATTGACACTATCACAAGACAGTGAGGTCCCTATGAATAAGTTACTGCACTCTGACATTTGGAAGTCATCAAATGAGACAGTATAATGTCAGCTTGATATTTTTCACACTATGAAAATATCAGCTTCATGTCAAAGATCTAAATTCCATCTTAATGTAATAATTTTTTTTTTGTATTCATAGACTAGTGAAAATGCTAAATATTTAAATTTGAAATGAACTTCTACAGTTACAATTTGGCCTTCATATTCCATTATTATTAAATTGCAAGTCAAGATCTGTTTTCCCTCTTTTTTAATTCCTCCAACATTGTAGTGTTTGATAGAATAATATTAACCATATTCTCTAAATGAATGCTTTCCCATCAACACATGGCAAAGAAAGTAAAAAAAACTACCTTGCTCTTCAAAGTCAGTCTATATTAAAGCAGCTCTGGCATCTTAAATAGATACAATGTTGATGTTACCACTATTTTCCACTTTTAGTGACAAAGCACAGAGAATGTAACCTTTCATGCCTGTGTAAGATTAATCTTCCTAGTATTATTTACAAAAGCAGTAGCATCCTTTGCTTTTTCCTCAATGTAATTATAATTCACATGATTTAGGGATCACATCAGTAATTCCTGGAAGTTTTATCTAAAGTGTATATTTAGACCCGTTTTCATCTGACCTGAGTAATTGACAGAGGAAGGGTAGATAGATATTTGAAAAAGATGGCAATTTGGCACATCCACCGATACACAGAATTTCTTTGTGGCTGCTGCTAGAACCACTGGTGTATTTATTGAAAGGGAAGCTCAATGTTGCTTAAGAAAGATAATGGCAACAGAAGAGCCACTTCCCATTCAGCTGCTAACCAGGGCAAAATGACCCAGGACGAAGCAACATCCCAAGGAAGCCCAGGCATCCCAGAAGGACAAGCTGCCCATTGCCTCGCTGTTACAGGGAATCCAGCGCTAAGAGGACATGAGCAGCAAGAGCAGAGAGCCAGGCCACCCTGCAGAGCCACAGGCTGCCCCAAGCGATGCAAAGGCACTAGCTCCGTGCAGCTTGGCCTCATGCTCCCGGTAACACAGGCAGGTTTAGCTCTAGGCTGCAGGTACGTGACCGAAAACCTGCCCCTTTCCCCCACTGTCTTTACCTCTCTGCTACACAGCAATCCCCAGCACAACTGCTTCTGGGCACCAGGATATCCTTCAAGTATTTGTCTCCACCTGCAGACCATGAGAGCTCTATTAACTACAGGAAACAAACACAATACGTGAAAACAGCACCTTGGCACCATAAACAAAACACTTTAGATAGCTACATGCAAACCTGTAAAACTAAAAAGCAACCCTGTTTTTGTGATTGGGACTGTGCTTTTCCATTTGCATGTGCACACATATAACTTGTTTTGAGATGCCAGGTTTTGCACTTCTGCTTCAGAACTTGGTATTGCTTCAAAATTCCCTCAAAGGGCTTGATTACTTTTTGAGGTTCTGGATTTTACATGCACACACGTATCCCTCCTTTTGTCACTATAGATGTGTGTATTACCCCTCATCGAGCCTTAACAATAGTTTGGTTATTAAAATACCATGCTAAAGGATGAGAATGAGCGTTTAAATCACTATTTTCAAAGTTTTACATTAAAATTCTAATCACAAAAACAAACTTAGTTTTATCTTTCCATAGTACTACTACTTGTAGAATTAAATTAATCCTGCGCTTATTTATTTTCCCTTCCATTTCTCTCTTGAAAGTTAGACCAATGTGCCGCTTGTCCTGAAATGCCTGGGAGTCCTTGGAATGTTATTTCATCCATTCAGGATGAAGATACTTGTTACATGCCCATTTTCTGTGATCTCCTGGTTTGGCTGGCTACCACCAGTCTTGTCCTTGTTCTCAGATTCTATCTTCCTATGTTTGGGCGAGTAGCACAAACATGTGATTAGCTATATTCTCACGTGACGCATATAAGAGCTCATAATAAAGCTAGAAAAATTATCACTAAATATCAATGTTAGGAAAAGTATATTTCATTTCTTTTTGAATGATGAAGTATCATACTTAAATTAACAGTGGCACTGAAAAGAACAGTTTCGAACCTACATAAGATGGAACATAACAGAGGACAAGAAGTTCACAAAGCGGCCCATGACATCTTTTATCAGATTTAGCAGTATAGTCACAATTTCCATAATGCTCTCAACTTCAAGCCTGTGAAACAAGGCAAGCTATTATTATGCTTTTGAGGCACTCCTTTGCTATATTTGGCCATGAGAAATACAGACCCAGAATGATGCGTAACAAGTTACCCAAATATACATGTGAAGAAAACAATAAATAAATAAAGCAGTATCCCCTTCTCACTTGACCATCAGGACTGAGAGGAATACTCTTTTATAATGAAACATAACTCTTAATTTAAGCTCATAGGCTTCTTATGTATCAGCTGCCCAACTTATATGGAGATTTTTCTTTGCCCTAAATTATTTTTGAGTTAAATACATATGAAGCATTGCAAAAACAGTGAAAAGACAATGGAGAAAGCAGAGAGAGGTATGTGCTACTTTCTGAAAATTCTGGACTTTGGGGTAGGATTTATTCCTACCAGCAGCGCAGTTGCCTATGAAGTAGGAACAATTTATCTCCATTAGTACCTTAAAATATGGAAACTTCTCTGAATCATTTTTCTTAAATGGGATGCGTTATTTGAGAGCAACATTATCATCCCAACTCCTGCCTCAAAGAGCTTCCAATGTCATTTATTGTCAAAATCACTTGTATAAATTTAATACATAGCTAGTTTACAGTTAAGGTTAGGAAGCCCAATGTAGAAATTCCTACTTGACAGGCTACAGTGTGATACTGAGTTATTCCTGCCAGTCCTAAGTCTTTTTATAGGGGACTCGTTCTCAAGAGTAACGCATGCTGAAAGGGAGAAATAATTTAAATTTAGGGCTATGTAGCATCAGAAATTTATCAAGACATGCAAATTTAAAGCTATTACAGTTAGAATACATTAAAAAAAGGTTACTTTCTCTTATTATTTGAGCAAATTTTTGCTCAAATCAGAGTCACACAGCACAAGCATGCACTGTTCTTACAAATTGCTCAAACCAAACTTGTATCTTGGTACTTTAGATATGTTTTTAGCCAAGTTACATATACATGTGTAGTATTTACTACAATCACTATACAGAAATGTATACTACTATGCATACATACACTTTGTGCGTTTCTTCTTACATCTGAAAAACTTCAGTGTATTGGTAAAAATATGTAAATACACTGGAAGTATACAATTTTCTTACAAAAAAAAAAGAACTTTTAAACACTCAAGTATAATTATATTTAAACAAGCTCTTTTTAGAAATGTTGTTTTAAAAGTAAATGCAACAGATACGCTAATTTCCTGCTTCTAGCAATTAGCTGTTCTTCTGCTAAAAGATAAATTACAAATTTAGGCATAAGTATTTTCTCATTTTCAGCTTAATGTATCATTATAAACACTCTTACTGTAGTTCCTTAAAGAGAATAAATTTTGACTGTTTCTTCTCTGAGAAAGCCTTCATTTGTACAGATAGAGTGTGGATGTAAAAGCAAATATGGAGCTGTATAGAGTTAATAAAACCTGCAGTTTGTAACAATCTAAAACTTTACCTTTTATCCATCATCTGAACACCCAAGCACTGCGACTATGTAAAAGTATTTATGAGATTTCCAATTCTTACTCTTTTATGCAGTAATACCAAATTCAACTCCAGTGAGAAACAGAAATCCAACGTATCTGTTGCATTGTGGGAGTTACGAAATGAAGGCAAGCTTATAGTCACATACAAAAAAAAAGTGGCAAAATAAAAGTTTTTACAGTTCTTAAGGAAATTAAAAAAGATGTTTTTGCTACTCTAACTTTATTTTTTCAATTCAAAACACCATAAAGCATCACTGCCTTCAACAGTGCAATTGCCCATCCTCCCTTCTCACCCCCAAAGAACAGTGGTGATAACGCAGACAATCACAGTTGGGGGCAACTGTGGTTTAAAGTTCCAGTGTCCAGGAATCCTCAGTCCATGAGGAAAACGTTTTACTTTTTGACTACACACAAGAGGGGCAGTTAGGAAGTCCACCGCCACCAAGCTACCTTCATTCTGTCCCAAACGGCCGAGAGGGAATCCAAGGCAGGGCGAACATCCAAGATAGTGAATTGGTAGTTCTTGTCGACCTCTCCGCCATCGTAGTAATCGATAACGTACCGCACCTCTTTGCCACATCGGTCAACAATCCAGTCGTGTCTGTCGAAAGGGAGCTCGTACCTGGAAGGACAGAGAGCAGACAGAGACATTACCCTAAAGGATATTATGAATCTGGGAGAGGAAGCAGCACTAAGAAGCTTCTAAGATGTATTTATCCAGATGCTGTTGTTAGATTATACCCACTACTTACATTCTCTGGAAATTAGAGCTTGCAATTCCATTTCTAAAATATCTTACAATTACATTTACGCTACACTTGCAGACCCATGCCTTCCTGCTCCTCGCTCAAAGTGCTGCCCACATACCCCATCCAGGAACGGATTCTGGCTCTAGGTGAGTACTCCTTGGCTTTGCCTC